CGAAACTGATCGAAGTGCTGGCCGATTCACATTCAAAAGTGCAGAAGTCGGGTGAAAAAGCGTTGAAACAAATCGCGAAAGTTATTCGCAATCCCGAAATTCTTGGTTCGTTGAGTGTCGATTCATTTTTTTTTGCATTCATCAGCACGTATTCACAATTTCAATAAATTTGTTTTGTTTTTCTTTTGTTTCACACAAGAAGTGTTTTGACATGTGAATATTTCAGAAATTGCATCAGAATTATTAAAATTGTATGAATGATTTCAGGAATCAGTTCGCATTTATTGATGGGTCTAATAGACCCGGCCACGAAGACCACGTCGTGTTTGCAAACGATTGTGAACACTCGTTTCATTCACTACATCGATGCTGCATCATTGGCCTTAATAATGCCCATTATAAGACGAGCGTTCACGGATCGTAACACTGAAACGAGACGAATGGCCGCACAGATCATTGCGAGTATATACTCGCTGACCGATAATAAGGTTTGTCGCTTGAATTGCTTCATTCTTTTACTCGTATTATCATTGCTACATATTCATTGCTGTGAAACTGAATATCCGTCTTTGATATTTTTTACTGGCATATATCTGTGATTGGAGCAGAGCATTACTTTTTATTATATGATATCACAGGTCTTTCAATCTTTGTTTTCAATCATCGTTTGTATTTTACTCTTTCAATCTTCGTTTTGAATATTTTATTGTTGAGTAATGTTTGAAGGACATGGAGCCATACCTGTGTGATCTAGTGCCAGGTCTTCAAAAGTCACTTCTCGATCCCGTACCCGAGATTCGTACAGTGGCCGCGAAAGCATTTGGTGCGATTGTGGCGTGTTCATCGGGCGATACGTCGGTGCGACTCCGAGAGCAAATTGTGCCGTGGCTGAAGGAGAAACTCGTCTCTGACGCAAGTCCGGTGGATCGTTCTGGAGCTGCGCAAGGCTTGGCTGAGGTGAGCGCAAGTTACTCTTGGCTTAGACTATTTGAATTTTATCATAACAGAGTTAATTTGAATTGCATCTTCAAATATCAGCCGCTGTATACGAAAAAGTATTTAAAATATAAATCATTATAATGATATTTGAAATTCCTTTATATTTTTTTTGTTTTCTTCAGGTTTTGAAAGCGTTAGGCGATGACCAATTAGCGTATGTAATGCCAGACATAATCAGGACAACTGAATCCGAGAATGTTACACCGGAAGTTCGTGATGGATACATTCTCATGTATATCTATTTACCGATGCTGTTCGGTGATCAGTTCGTGCCATTCTTACCGCAGGTTGGTTTTGAATTCATTGTTTCATTATTTATGCATTGTGTGATGATAATTATGAATGGAATGAAATGAAATGTTATCAGGTTATTCCGAGTGTTCTGAAAGCGTTGGCAGATGAGAACGAATACGTTCGCGACAGTGCGCTCAAAGCTGGTCAGCGACTCATCTCGACGTATTGCTCACATGCACGTCGCCTTTTGTTGCCACAGCTGCAGACGGCAATGTTCGATGATAACTGGAGAATTCGTTTCGCATCTGTGACACTGATCGGCGATTTCCTCTTCAACATTTCCGGTTGGTTGATGTTTCGTTTCGTTTTTATCAAAAAAAATTTGCATGCGATTTTTTGG